CTGAGCCCCCCCCTGCCCAACGCCCCCCCAGCTGGGAGGGGAGGGCCTCCTGCCCAGGCCCACTGGCCTTCCACCAGCATTATACCCTACTGAGGACTCCTGCTTCCCGGAATCCACCCCCGGAAGCAGGGAAGGGGGGGGGGGGAGGGCCAGACGAGCCTGAGCCCCCCCCTGCCCAACGCCCCCCCAGCTGGGAGGGGAGGGCCTCCTGCCCAGGCCCACTGGCCTTCCACCAGCATTATACCCTACTGAGGACTCCTGCTTCCCGGAATCCACCCCCGGATCTCCAGGAACTCCCCAAGGCAGAGTTGGCAACCACAGCTGGCATCCAGCGGCCAGGCTTCCTCGGGGGTGCCAGTGGTCAGAGCTACACACCCACCCACACACACACTCCCCGTAGAATAATACCCATTGGACTGCCAGTGAAGCCCCAGGAGAATGGGGGAGGGGGGTGTCAGGCAGATTTAAGGTTGCCATGCTCCAGGTGGGGCCTGGAGATCTCCCAGAATCGCAACTGATGCCTTCCCCTGGAGAAAATGGCACCGTCGGACGGTTGTACTCTCAGGTGCAACACCCCGCTGCGGGCCCCTTCCCACCTGTGCCCCCTGCAATCCATTCAAAAGGCGTCTCGAAGAGGGTCCTTTGCCAATTCCTTCCCTTCTACTCATCTTAAAAAAACACCCCACCCATCCGTTGACCTATTGTTACATCCAGGGCAGGACTGTCTTTGGGGGGCCAGCGTCGGAGGATTCCCCCTGGCAACTGCAGTCGATGCCAATCCGGTGCTCTGCCCCTCACCCATGCCCCTTCCTCTAGGGGGGTGGGGGGGGACAGAGCCACTTCCAGGCAGAGGAAGCCCTCCCCTAAGCCCAGTGACAGATCTGCCCCAATCCAGCGGGTCCATCTGGCGCGAGGGAAAACGGCCTCCTGGCACGTGGCCAGCCTACCGCATGGTGTCCACCTTCCAAAGGTGTCCCCCAACAACCACACCAGGTTAGCATTCTGCCCTAGCCTCGCATGCCTGGTGTGATCCACCCAGGGCCCTGATTTCCGGGGGGGGGGGGGATCCAGCTTCTTTCCAGTGGCCACAGCCAGCCAGGCCTGAGAGAAGAGGGTCTTACGAAGCCCACCCATGGATGCCAGGCGCCCAGAAGGATTCACTGGGTCTCTTCCTTAAGTGAAGGGAACCTATTTGTACGAGGTGTGAGCCCACAAGTACCAGGGGGGGGGGGTTCTGCTGGAACGCCGCCCCACCCACGGTTCCTTGCCCTCCCCCAAGTCGGACCACTCAAAAGCATATCAACAGTTAAATCTTTTTTCTTTTTATATTTACAATATCATTTTCCATTTCTTGCAAGGTTTAAAAATGTGTACAGCATGTCAGCTCAGGTCCCGGCTCCCCCCCCCCC